CCATTTAAAGGTCCTTTGATGATAAATGTGTAACAGTGGAAAGTGTGCTAGTTTGGGATTCAGAAGACCCAGGTGCTAATTTGGCATGGACTACCTGTTACCTTACAGGCATGTACATAATATCTCAGAGTCTTTGTTCTGCATCTGTCCGTTGAGAGATTTGGGCTAGAAAATCTTTTAAGACCCTTGATAAATCTGATGAAACTTGAGTTGTCTTTCTTTTCTACCTCATCGAGATAGGCAAGTGACAAGATGTAGAGAGATTATTCCGGGCACTGAATTGCCACAATTATTAGCAACACAAGAGAAGTCAAAAAAGCTGTCCTGTGAGTGAGATTACTGATTCTCTTCGTGCAGTGATGCTGACAGGTAGGCCTGGGTAAATGGTGTGAGTTCACAAACTTGTTTGTTTACCTTGTTGTTCCTAAGCCTGTGGAAAAATGTAGGCAGGCACCTAAGGCAACGCATTCTGTATGTCACAATTTCAAGGCAGCCTTTTTTACTTAAACCCTTCTCTGTGTATTCTAAGTCATTTTTCTCTGCCCGTACACCTCCCAAACTTCACTCAAGTTCTTCCTTTTCTCTTGTTGTCCTAAGAATGTCAAAATTATTGAGTCTTTTCATTTTTACTATGCTGGTGTCTCTGAGAAACTCGCTGACAGACACCTGTTATGACTGATGTATTAACGTTCACTGTCCCTGGGTTCTTTAAATCTAGCAAAAGCTCTGCCGCCTTCAGTCAAATGGTCTGTGCTTGATGAGAAGAGAAAACTGTCTTTGGGACCATCTGGTGGTGGTGTGGAACCAGGCCTCTTGCCAGCTTGGCCCCCAGTCTGCCTTGTCTGCAGGTGGGCGTCTTTGTCAGGCTAGAGGCTCTGAAGCTTTGGAAAAGCTCATTCATTCCACTTCCCATATTTTTGAGCTGGAGCAGAAGAGCGACTGGCCCTATTTTCTGCCCTTGACTGTATTTTCTGGACATTCAGGAGCCTAGTGACAAGAGGCTGTAGCTCCGAGGTGCCCTGGGTTCCCTCACTGGGGGTCTGCACTGGGCTTAGAAAAAATTGGCCCCAGGGTGGGCAGCGGGGAGGGCTCCAGGTGGTCGTGGCTGGGGTCTGAGCTAGTTTGGGGTCATGCCGAGTGCTTTCTCAGTTGCCCTGGTCTGTACCCCTTGAAAGGCGTGCCATGGATAAGGGTTATCTCCGTCTTAGTTTTTCTCTTTTTTCATTTTGCCACAAGACAGGATTGTATCACACATCTCCAAAACGAGTAAAATGGCATTTCAGCTTCTTGTCTTTATAGACTCTCTGAACTTTAGGAAAGATCATTCTGGTCCCTTTTCATTAATAATGAAAACCAGGGGGCAATAAAACGTTCTTAACGTGAGCACGGCAGAAACAAGGAGCAGTGCGGGGGTGAAGGTGCGGCTGGCGGGGAGCCACAGGTGTCTCTTGGTGCTTGAGGAGGTCAGGCTCCGGAGAGGGGGGAGCAGTGGTAGGAGGGGTCCTGGTTCTGGGACCCCTGACCTGCCAGCATCTGCTCAGCCTCGGCTCTGTTACCCGGAACGAGAGGCTGCACTTCTCAAGGCATGCACTGTGTGTTTGCAGGAAAGAAGAAGGATGCAGCAAACTTTGGGTTCTGGTCCAGTTTTCAGCCCAGTTGCAACTGTTTTCCTGTAAGATATTTAGTGGGTATTTGAGAAGTCACTGGTGAGTAGAACTTTCTGGACATGTGCCCATTTTGAATACTTTCTCTGGGGATTTTTGCAGCACAGATGGACGTTCTGGGTGTGGATTGAAGCCCCACGGAACAGCGTGGGGCTTCAATCCACAGCGACTCTTTAGAAAAGTGGCAAGGTTACTCTGTCTCTGCTTTTTCCTCCTAAAAATGAACTTGCACCAGATGTTGGAATCAAGGCAGTCAGAGCAGAGCAGGCTGAGCCGAGAGAGGTGCCTGCTTGGGACCTGGAGCCTCCTGGCTTCTCAGGGTCACAGTGAAAGGTCTACCTCAGTGGTCTCAAGAGTTTTCCATTTCACGATCAGCGGTCGCTTCTCTATGTCGCTCCGCATCGGATGGGGGTGTTCACTGCAGGTCAAAGCAGCAGAGCTCCCTTCTGGAGACAGTGTGTAGACGTGAACCCTGAGTGTCACTGTGCAACCCTGGAGAGGAGTGGGGAGTCTTGGCTCGCCGTGACCCAAACCCCAGAACCCGTTAAAGAATAGATCGATAAGTTTACATAAACATGAAAACACTCTGTGCCACAAAAAGCAGACCGTAAGCAGAGTCAAAAGAAAACTATACTAGGAAGAATTTTTACAACTCCTTTCACAGACAGAGGGTGAATTTCCCTGTTGTATAAGAAGTTTCCATGAATTGAGGGAGGAAATTTAATAAAGAAATTGAGTAGAAAAGTAGGGAACATATAGTATACCAAAAAGGAGGTGCAGGTGAAAAGATTGCTCAGTCCTCACTTGTAATAAGGTAAATGCAAATTAAAGCTAGAGGGAGGTACTATTGCTTTGCTCTAGTACTGGCAGAAATCTGTGCGTGTGCTTAACCCATTATGTTGGGGTGGCTCTGAGGAAACATGTGGGAATGAACTGGTTCAGCCCCCGTGGAGGACAGTTTGGCAGGCTATCTCAGACTGCTGTGGCCCAGCCTCCTGGGAGTTCACGTTTACAGATGGACTTGTACATGCACATGAGACGCCATATGTACACGCTCACTGATGGCAGCGTTGTGTGAAATAGGAAAAGACTGGGATCCTCTAAATGTCCATCATTAGGGAATTGGTTTAATGGAATATTATGCAGCTTTAGCAAAAAAGAAGAATGAGAAATGGGGGGAAAGAGAAGGAAAATAATGCCCATGTGTGTTGCCTCATACTTGCATAAAAATTCTCTGCAGGGTAAAGAAGAAACTATTAACACAGTGGTTCTTGGTGGTGGAGGAAGCCTCTTTGCAGTAGGCTGACATGTGCTGCGTGATGTTTAGACCATGTGCGTGTATTACCTATTCAAAAACTGTAAGCTCAACAAGGGAGTTGATCACAGTCTGTGCAGGAGACCCGGGCTGGGCCACATTGGGAAACTCACGTGGAATCCACAGGCGGGGCAGGGTCGGGTGGCCAGGGAGAGACGCTCTTCCAGGCTCTCCCATCACCATCATCTCTGCCTCCTGAGAGCCCCCTTCAGCAGCTCAGGGAGGAGGGAGAGTCCGCCTCGCCCCCTTGGAGGTCTTTGCCACTTGGATCCCCCGATCAGACTGCATGCCAGCAGCCCCTCCTCCCCATGTGCTCATGTCCTGCCGAGGACTTTAAGAACCGCCCCTCTCCTGCTCTCCTTTGGTCATGAAGCGCCAGGACGTGGCCAGTACCTGCAGGCCCAGGGGAGGGGGATGGCTGGAGCCGCAGGTGTCCATCTCAGAGGAGATGAGGCGCCCGGCCGCGTGTGGAGTGTGGTGGCTCTTCCTCCCTCACCTTCTCTCTTAGATCCACTTCCAGATCCCAGGTCCTTGTCGCAGCAGCGTGCCCCGGGTGGGTGCCTTCTGGGTCACTGTCCTGGCACCTGGTCTGAGTCCACAGACTGGTGGTGTCCTGCACCACTGATGGTTCTGCAAACAGTGGCCCACGCACCACCACCACCCCCCACCGCCCCCTGCCCAGTGGCCGGTCCCTTGAGAGGAGGCAGCTGGGTGGCCTGAACGCGGCTGCTCCAGGTAGACGTTCCAGAAGGAGCTCGTGCTTTCCCATGTGCCTGACAGAATCGCTGGGCGTCACATCAGATTATGGGCATGAAAGCACTTGTAAACAGTTCATGGGGAAGGTTATGAAGTAGAAAATTCTCCTCTCCTCCTCTGGAACTAGAAGTTCATTCAGGGCTTGGAGGGGACTTTGTGTTCCAAAGGGCCTGACCCTACATGAAGACCGGCTGCCTGTGTCCGGATCCCCTGAGACGGTCCGTCCTGGACTCAGTCCCTCTCGCCTTTGGAGGCCCCTTGCGGTAGCCTCTCCCTGCTTTCTTGCCTCCGCGGCCTCCCACCTGTAGCTGCCCTCCGTGCTCCCTGATGTTGTTCTCCCAGAACACAGAGCCGTGACCACGTCACTCCCTGGTTCAGAGCCTTCAGTGACCCCGCTGCTTGTGAAACGATGGCCAGGTTCCTTGAGTGCGCTCACCGCCAGGCCAGCCTTTCCCACCTTCCCCCCACCCCGCTCCCCCCACCGCTCCCCTCTCTGCTCTTGCTGTCTCTTGGCCAGCAGTAGCCCCCTCACCCTGGGTGAAGCCCAGGGGATCCCCCGTCTGCTTGAGCACAAGTCATCCTCAGCCTTTGCACTTCCTTGTCCCCTGCCTGGAGCGTCGTGCCCGGGACCGCACAGGTCTCGGCATCCTCCTCCACCGAGGCCCTGCCATCCGCACTCTCTCCTGGTCCCGTTCGGTGCTCTCAATCGCTGTCTGGAGCCACCTCGTTCGGTCGTTGGTAGGCTGCCTCCTCTCCACCAGGCTCCATGTGAGAGCAGAACAGAACAGGGCAGGGGTCTCGCCACCGCTGTAACCCGTGCCTACGGCACTGTCGTGCACCCTGTCAGGGCTTCATCAAGTTGAATAAACAGGTGATGCAGCCTTTGCCCTGCTCTGAGGTGGCTCCAGGCTCATGTAGGAGGGTGTGTGGGCATGTATTCGTGCACACCTAGGTGTGCTCATGGCAGCCTCACTGGATCCTTTATTCCTCGAAGTGGGGCCTGTGCCCTAGGTCTTCAGATCGCCTCTGCCGCCCGCCTCCCACCCCGGGCCTCAGCCTGCCTAGACACCAGCCCACGGCAGCTGCGCAGTCCAGGGGCCTGGGAGGAGGAGGGAGGCGCAGCCCGGCCGCATCCTGATCTCACCCCCATCCGAGCACGAGACATACCCCCCGACTGAGATGAGGGGCCTGAATCCACGTGCTCTCCTGCCTCAGGGGGGTCGCCAGTGCCTCTTCTCCTGACGTGCCTTTTCCCCCGACCTTAGGCCCTGCGGGTTCCCGGTGGAGAGATTACAGCGCCTTGGCCATCATCATGGCAGGGATAGCGTTTGGCTTTCACCAGCTCTACAAGGTAAGCTGCCCCTCCCTGCACCCCCTGAGCCCGGGGGCAGCAGTGGGCCTGCCTGCAGAGGCTGAGCGCCCTGATGATCTCTCGCTCGCTGAGGGGCGTCCAGGTCAAGTCCTGGTCCTGTTCCCACCCGGGTGGGTGCGCTTGGCAGGTTCAGACCCGCCTCATCTGCTTCACTCGGCATCTCCCCTCCAAGTCCCTGTGCAGCAGGGACCCCGTCGATCAATGAGCCACATCAGGTACTTAGAACAGTGCCTGGCACTTATTGAGCAGGCCAGACCTTTTTGAGAGACAGAATAACGTGTGGTTAAGGGCATGAACGCTGGAGCCCAGCTGCCTGTGTTGCATCCTGGCTCTACCACTTGGCAGCTGTGTGACCGCAGGCTCAGCGGTTCTGTGTGTAACATGGGGACAATAGTATCTACCTTACGAGGCTGTTGTGATGCTGAAAGGAGTCACTGCTCCCCTGGGAAGTGCTCTGCGCCCAGAACACAGGAAGCGCTCTGCACGCTCTTGAGAATCTCAGTACGAACGTATCTACAGGATCTACCTTTTCCCCCTATGTATTGTGTTGGCATCCATGTAGACCTAGGGTTTTTCATGGACTACGTAGTCAACCCTCAGGATCCCAGAGTTCATTGCTTACAACGGAGCTGCAGGCAGGAAGTAACATTTACTTCCTTGATACCAGATACTAATCAGACACTAATTACCAGCTACTAACTTTGATTTGAAGCAAGTTGAGTCTTTTTTAGAAGATGCAGAGCCAGGGTAGGTCCCCAGAGACAAAAGGTAAAAGAGTGGCTGGAGGACTTACTCTCTGCTGGCCCTTTCCTTCTGAGGCCACCTGCGACTCCATCTCTGATTTGGAGATTTTTAAAAAAGAATCTGAATGACTATCCAGACTCATGTTGTACTTTTTTTTTTTTTTTTTTGGTCACGCCACGCAACTTGCTAGATCCTAGTTCCCTGACCAGGGATCAAGCCTGTGCCTACTACAGTGGAAGCACGGAGTCCTAACCACTAGACCGCCAGGGAAGTCCCCCCATGTTTAACTTCTAGCACATGAAACATGTTTCAGCATTGTACTATGGGATTCTTAATTTTTCACTTAAGTGCAAAAGCTAATGACAGAGTTGTAGCAGAATATAATCTTTTCAGTGTAACATTTATTCTTGAAGTTGGGAATCTCCACATTAGAAATCCAGAAACAAGATGTTCTGGGTCCTGGGACTTCTTCCTCTGATGCCATTGTGTCCTGAAAGTCTATTTCCAACCACTGACTGCATACAGTCACCAGGAAGAAGAATATGCTAAGACAGGATTCTCACATCAATGTCCCGGCTCTACTAAGCGGTACCTGATAGTCACATGGCTGCCCTTGGACGGCCTATGACCTGGTGGAGACAGAAAGCGTAGCTCCCCTTGGAGCAAAGCAGAGATAGCATCAGTTGTTTCCACGAAGCTCTCATCTTTAGTCTCTGCTTTAAAAAAGAAGAGACATTGGGGCTTCCCTGGTGGCGCAGTGGTTGAGAGTCCGCCTGCCGATGCAGGGGACACAGGTTCATGCCCCGGTCTGGGAAGATCCCACATGCCGCGGAGCGGCTGGGCCCGTGAGCCATGGCCGCTGAGCCTGCGCGGCTGGAGCCTGTGCTCCGCAATGGGAGAGGCCACAACAGTGAGAGGCCCACGTACCGCAAAAAAAAAAAATGAAGAGACATTGGAAGATTAGTCACGATGGTGACAAGAGAATTTAAAAAACATCTGCTAAATTAAAAAACAAAAAGGAGAGGTAAGCTGTTATCTTGTTTTATAAATATGTAAAGATTTAGGCTGGGGTAGTGTATGTGTTCCCTTCCTCGGCATTTTTGATCTTAGAAATGGAATTTTTAGTCCATTACACGTGTAAGAATTTCTTGACTTTTATACTTCGGAAATTTTCAACCTGGAACGTAAGGCTCCATTTTATGAGTTTCGGCTCAGCTGTGGGTAATAACTCACACGATGGTTGAAAAGCACTTTGCAAAATAGAAAATGCTTCTATATGTATGCTAAATAGTGATCTTCACTTAGGAGCTGCTCTTGAAATGAGTTCTCTGACAGGCCCCTTGTGAGAGACCTCCTTTCCCTTCCCCAGTACAGAAGCCTTAATGGAGAAGTTGCCGTCTTTTCCTGTCTGGGGCCCGAATGGTGTAAGAACCAAAGTCTCTTTTGGTCACACCTGCCAGTTACTACACCTGCCAAGCTTGCACTCTGCCACCCCTGGTGCCACCCTAGTAAAGTTGGTGACTGGTCTCACGCTCCTAAGATGGGGGGCTCCACGTCCAGAGCTTTTGGAGTTTGGAGCCCATGTTCTTTCGTCCAGCTCTCCCAGCGGGCACCTTGCCGCCCACCTCTAACCCTTCACACTTCCAAGCAGGCAGTCAGTTACCAGCTGCGCCCCGTCTGCCTTCTTCCTGAATGTTCTGAAATTCTCAGAACATTCAAGATGGCCCTGCAGCATCAGCTTCCTTTTTCCCCAGTGTCTCCTGATTCTGCTCCTTGCTCCCCCTTCTGCCCCATGTCTCAGTTCTGGGAGAGTCTGGCTGCATTTAACTCTTATCTGAAGGAAGCTTGTTCTGTGGATTCAAGGCTTTTCGAAGAAGAATGGGTGTGACCTCCTTAGGTAGCCTCGGAATACCCATATTATTATCCCCTCCTAGTGAAAGAGCCAAAGGTCCCACAAATCTGTTGTGGATTTTGATCTTGTTTCTTGAATAATTTTTTTGTTTATTTTTACTTGTTTGTTTCTGAATGGAGAATTCATTCATGTGGTTCAAAATGTTAAAGGTTCAGAAAAGTGTACAGCAAACTTCCCTCCCACTCCCCCCTGGAAGCCACCAGTGGTATCACTTTCTTGTATAACCTTTTGCATTTTTATGATATACAACTTTTAAAGTAGAATTTTGAGTATTTTTGGACACAAGTATTGTATATAGCAACATTTAAAAATCTAAAAGAACCAAAAAGTGCTCCATCATAGTGGGTCAAATTGATTTTTTGTGTCCCTGTTCCCTGGTTCTGGTCCTGATTCAGACAGAGTTGTTTTTTTTGTTTTTTTTTTATGTGGTTGTAATCACAGCCTCATAATTTTCGGATGTCTTGTTCATTTACGGTGTTGGCGTAGGGTTTCCGAAACCCAGGGTTGATGGAGAGAAAGTTGGTCGGCAGAATTTGAGAGACTGTTGAAGAGTATCCCAAGTACGTACCCATTCCTCATGTGCACCCTGCTTCTCGCAGAAATACCTGCTCCCCCTCATCATGGGCGGCCGGGAGGACAGGAAGCAACTGGAGAGGATGGAGGCGAGTCTCTCAGAGCTGAGTGGCAGCGTGGCACAGACAGGTAAAGATTAATGACTCCACCAAGGCACCCCTCAAAGCCTTCTCCGAGCAGCCCCTTCTTTGCCCCCTCCCCTCTCCCCTCCGTCTCCACTTTATGTGGTGACTTCATTTATCTGCTCTGAGAATCTGTTCACATTTGCAAATGAAGCCGCCGTCATTTCGGTTTAATTTGAAATTGCTTGTTTACTGTCGGCGCGGCCTCAATTAATTATGTTTTTACGGAAAGGCTCCCAACCTCAGAATATTAATAAGGGGAATAAAATGACAGCCTTTCTAAGGGCTGTAAAGTTCATTTTTAATTTCTGCTTCTATGAGGTTTTCAGGGGGGTTTTCAGCAATTTTCCCCCTTCCCTCTAAGAATCCAACACAGGGTCAAGAGAGGCTGTAATTACTGCGGCTCCAGGGACCCCGGCCACCTCCTCTGTCATCGACTCCACGAGGCTCACGTTCATTACCCGGTGCCCCAGTGATGGCCCAGATTAGCTGGGACCTGTCGCACCAGAGGTGGTTTTCTCCTTTATAAACTTGTTTACTAGATGGAGCCTCTGAATCTAAAAACTCTGGCAAACTAGAGAGCCGCCTGTCCCAGGCAGGAGTCTGTCCCTCGGGGGCATGTTTGTGAAGCCCTCGGAAACCCTCTGGAGCACATGCCCTGCTGGCATGTCTCCTTGGAGGCTGACAGTGGGCCGGGAGCTCCAGCAGCCTCTGGGTTGGGTGGGGAGGATAGGAAGGAGCGGTAAGGAAATGGGATTTGCAGTTTGTAACCGCTCCAGGATGCTGTGGACTGAGATGTCTCTCTCCCAGGATTGGAGACTTGCCATGAGTTCTGTAGTGGCGTGGGGAGGCCCGGGAGATGGGGGATGCAGGCAGCATGGAAGTTGCAAGAGCCAAGCGAATCATAAACAGATATAATTAGAGGGGAGAGGTTTTGGACGGATATACTGTTGACCACGGACAACTGCACAATAGAAAGATAAAGTAGAAATACTAGAGGTTAGATACAGTGCAGGTAGATGCCCTAGAGTGCAGATGAATTATATGGATTGCACGGGCCGGGGTTGGGGGGGGGGGGGGGGAATGTCTGCAGATAAATTAGATGCAGCAGCTTATAGGTGTGTGGACAGAAGGAAGAATCTGTATCATTTAACAGAGATGCAACTGCTCTTTCCTCCCAGTGACGCAGTTACAGGTGACTTTAGCCTCTGTCCAGGAGCTGCTGACTCAGCAGCAGCAGGAAGTCCAGGAGCTCGCCCACGAGCTGGCCGCAGCCAAGGTACTTGTCCCTGACCCTCTGGTCCCTCTAGGTCCGGGTCTGCCCTGCACGGTTCTTCACTCCCGTCCTTTGTGCCCAGTTCACTACATCCGCTGGGGTCTGATGTTATCTCTTCTGACACCGGTGACCCTGCCCTTGTAGAGACAGGAGGCGGTCACCGTGCTGGTGGTGTGGCATTCAGTGACGGAGGCTGTCCTTTCTGTCTCTGTGTCACCTCCCAACAGGAGGGAGGAAAAGCAGCTCTGTGCCTGTGGCCCTCCCGTGGCAGCACACGCCCCAGATCTGGTGGTGGCCGGTGTCGACACAGGATGGTCTCCACCACAAGTTAGGTCAGAGGTCCTGGCGTTGCCAAGAGCGATTGCAGGGAACAGGGTGGGAGGAGTGTACCCAGACCCTGGGCTGCAATGCTGCCGTGGGTGGGTTCTCCAAACCCAGGCCTCGGGATCCGGTAACCCCCAGAGGAGTGTAGACCCACCTGGGGTCGACTGAGGCGGCTTCCTTGCCTCACTTTGCACATCTGGAGCTGTCTTGGCAACATCAGACCCTAGGATCAGACCACCGGGGTTCAGGCTCTCCTGTGCCCCGTGCTACCTGTGTGACTGCAGACAAGCGACTTGCTGTTCCCTCGTCTGTAAGAAGGAGCTGTACCGCACCTCCCTCGTTGCCTGTCCCCACTGAGGACAGAGCCTGGCTCCCGTCAGCCCCAGGATGGCAGGCTTTGGGTCTGGGTTCTGTGCGTGTGTGACAGGGTGTTCCCGAGACAGACTGGGCCCGGGAGACAGTGGTCCAGTGGCTCCAGGGCGTCCACTGCCCTCCCCACTCCCTCCAAGGCCTCCTGGGTTGCTTTCTGGCTGCTTCCACGCAGCCGTGCTGTAAAGGATCTCACTCCGAGCAGCTCTCCCAGAGGAAGCCCCACCCCAGTGCGCGACTCCGTGTGAGCCGGCGCTCCTGTGAAGGGGGTCCCCGAGAATCCTCTCATGGGGTACCCCACCCACGGAGGCCAGTGGCCACCGCCAGCCACCGTGCACGCTCCCCGCGGGCGGGCGGGCGGGCGGCCCATAAAGCAGCTGAGGAGGCAGTCACAGCCTGTGACCACCTCTCCTCGATTGTCTTTTGGAGCGGCAGCCTGCCAGTGGCCAGAATCCTTTCCAGAAATTGGAAAACTGTTTTCAGACCTTAAGCATTAAGATTAAGACCACATGTTGCATTTTAGGAGGGGAGGGGGGCCCGGGGTAGCGTTTGGTGGTTGAGCGCCGCCTCTGAGGGTGTCTCGTGCTTGTTTTTCTGATGTCCCCTCGCCTGCCCCCAGCCCCTTTCATTCTCTGCTGTGCTGAAGCCGTGCTCACTGGTGTCTAAACCCATCTGTGTGAAGGCTTCGGTTACCCCATAAACCAAAGACTCAGAGCTGTGTTTTCTCAGCTGTAATGTAAGTTTTTATATCTGGCTTCCAAACCCCTACTGCAGCACTGTAAAAAATTAAAAAGAAGAGCATTCAGTAATTAAAAAACCTACATAAAACTGAAGGCTGGGAGTTTTCTACAACTGTTTTTTAGAGACTGGCTAAAAAGCCCCAGATGTCAGATTTTATTTCTAAATCCTGGCATCTGGCACCATATGCGTTTGGAAATTTGAGTCCTTTGTAGGCCGGTGAGTGGAAATTGCTCCCTTGTTAATGGGCTGCTATAGCTTTCAAGGTCTCAGAGAGGCCAGAGCAGTGACTCCTGGGTCTGCGCTGTCTGGTGGTCTGGAGTGGGGACCCCAAGGGGATGTGTGTGAGGGCGGCCGAGCGCCTGTGTGCGCTCGTTCCGAGGCTGCCCGGGGTTTCTTTCCTGAGGCCTGCAGCCCCCGCGGGGGGCGCTTCCCGCTGTGGAGCCGGGCTGGGGCTGCCGGCCGAGGCAGGACCCACAGCACCCCTCACCCCACCTTAGAGCCCCGCAGGCTGGTGGGAATGTGCGGGGCCCCTCCACGCTGCCAGCCTGGGGATCCCCACACTCTCCTGAACTCAGGGCCCGGGTGTTCTGTGGCAGGCAGCGGGGGCCTTGTACCCGTAGGCAGAGGCCCACACACCCGAGGCCATCACACCTGGGACTGGCCCGTAAACACTTCGCAGGCAGCTTGGCCAAGGCAGCTGCCATTTGGGGGACCTCCTCTCCATCCCAGCAAGATTGCCAAAGAAAGGTGTGGTCGTTTGAAGTTTATATAGAAAACGGTGTCAACGGGGAAGGTGTGCGGGGAAGGGTGACATTTGTCTGAGGTTCCTGTGGCTGCTTCCCCTGTGGGCCCTGCTCCGGGACATCTTCGTTCTCCCTGCTGAACCTTCAGGGTCGTCCTGAAGAGCAGCTGCAGATGGGCGGCCTGGCCCTCGACTCCTGGCTGTGCAGACAGTGGGGCCCAGTGTGTGGCCTGACGTTACGGCTGCGTGGGGAAGGGTATCCTGGGCGAAGCCTGCCTTCTGGGCATGATTGAGAGTAGAGCTGGGGGATGGGCCAGGCAGGTGCTCAGGTGTCTCCCTTGACCCTTCAAGGTGGCTCCAGGTACCAGGCTCCTGGTACCTGTGGTTGAGGTGGCTGCCTGTCCCAGCCCCAGAGTTTCCGTGTGTGTGTGTGTGTGTGCGTGTGCGTGTGCGTGTGCGTGTGTGTGTGTGTGTGTGTGTGTGTGTGTGATGTCTCTGCAGGGAGAGGGACTTAGGTGGAGGGAGTAGTTGTTGTAGAGATGGAATTTATTTATCTTAATAGTTTTGTTTTAATGGAATGTTTCAAATACATCTGGAAATGGGGGGGCTGCACAGCAAGCCCACATGTTCTGGCTACACAGCTGCAGCCGCTGCCTCGGGCCCGTCCTGCCATACCCCTACCCGCAGGTGATTTTGAAGCACATCCCAGACAGCATATCATTTCATACTTCAGACACTTCAGTGTGTATCTATAAAAGATAAGGGCTCTTTTGTTGTTGATGTTTTATTTTACATAACCAGGCTGCCACTATCATACCTGAATGCATGTCATGATTCCCTAATATAGTCAGCTATCCAGATAGACTTGTGGGAATGTTTGTTCTAAGGGAGTCGTCACTTAAACAGAGATCCAGGCAGGCAGACCCCTGAATGGGCTGCAGCAGAACCGTACCGAGGGAGGTTCCTGGCTGGCATGCAGGACACGGAATCCCCCGGGGTCCTCCTTGCCACCCCAGCAGTCTGAGCTTCAAGGGGTGGGAGGAGGTGCCGCTCTGATCTTCTGTCTCCTGTGTGACTTTCAGGCCACCACTTCCACCAACTGGATCCTGGAGTCCCAGAACATCAATGAACTCAAGTCGGAAATTAACTCCTTGAAAGGGCTTCTTTTAAATCGGTAGGAGCTGAAAACGCACGGGCTTCTGTTCTGCTCTCTGACTTCGACTTGGGGGAGGGAGCTCTTGGGGCCCATCCAGCCGCCAGCCATTGGGGGCAAGGGAGGGGCACGTCTCCCTGGGGGCCCCCTGTGTGTCCCACCCCAGATTGAGCTGCATGATTCAGGCATTGAGTTTGGGAATCTCTTGCGCTGCCACCTTCCCTCCCCGGTTGGCCCCTCCCTCTCCACTCTAGGGGTGACAGCCTGTAGTGCCCACGAGTTTTGAGATACAGTCACTTGGTCCTGTCAAGACCCAGTCAAGGGCAGCTGGAGCCAGAAGCAGGGCCTTGAGCAGAGGAGAGAATCCCTACCCTCCAGATAGGGCCATCTCCTCCCCGTCCTCAGCCCCGGCTGGACCTCCCAGTGACAGCTTGGTCCCAGAGAAGGTCCCCCCCAGAGGGCCAGGCCAGGGGTCTCTGTCCCTGCTCAGTTTGAAGAGCCTATGATTCAAGGCAGAGGCAGACGCAGTGCCCGCCTCCCCACGCCCCGGCTCTTGTGGCCTCACTCTGCTGCCCCTCCGCAGGGACAGCACCAACACAGCCCTGACTGACAGGAACGCTTGCCTCCTTGACTGACAGGAGCGCTTGCCTCCCTGACAGGAGCGCTTGTCCGGGCTTGCCCGGGCCCGTCTTTTCTTAAACCTGAAAGTCCTGTGTCCTGGGCCGCCCCTCCTGCAGGGCGCCCTGGGGGTTAGTGGGGGCTGAGCGAGGCGGGGGCCTTCACTCCAGGCCAGTGATGGGGGCTGGCAGCGTCTCGTGGTCCCAACCAGAGGACCCAGTTCTCCAAGCCACCCACTTCCAGGCTGTCTGTGGGGAAAAGAGCGTGGCCTTAAGAGAGGCACGGCTGAGCTCGGGGCACCAGAGGGCTGTCTGCTGGGGACACGGTGAACGCCGAGGCCCCGACTGTGTGCTCCGCGTAGCAGGGTCTGAGGTGGAAGGGCTGTCCTGGGCCAGAGCTGGTGGTCTGGTGGGCAGCCCAGGAGGCGGCAGGCCTTTGTCCTCCCAGCTCAGGCAGGGGTGATCCCGCCTGTCCTCGAGCTTGATTTCCAAGCCCTTGCCAAGCGGACCTGACTTCCCAGGTCTGGGCTGGGCTGGCTGCTGGCCCAGGACCCAGGGCAGGGATGCAGGAGTGGGAGGGAGAACTGGCTCTTCTGTCAAGTGTTGAGCTCGGAGGTTTTCTAGAAATGTGCTAGGTCACCAGCATTACCCTTCTGGTTCTGATGTCTCTGACCCCGAGACCAGTGGCCAGGCTCTCCCCACCCCCCGCCTTTGCCCAGGCCACAGGCAAGTGAGAGTGAGGTCCAGGGGCCTTGGCTTCCCAGGCTTCTGGCTCCCCACTGTTGCTCGGTGCCCCTCCCAGGGCTGGAGGCTGGGACAGTGCTGTAAGGGTGGGAGGGAACGGGCGCCAGGGGGTGGCAGGACCCCCAGAGCCAAGTGTCCAGCAGCTGCCAGGGAGGGCGGGCCTGGCCCCAGGCAGAGGGGACCCCAGGAGGCACCCTGAGTGGACCGGGGGCTCTGCAGGCAGCCCCGGTGCCTCTGGCTTCCGTCTCAGCCGCTCCCACCTCAACGGGCCAAGAGGCCTTATTTCCAGAGGAGGGGGACGGGGGGAGGTGGGAGTGGGCGGCGGAGCTCCAGCCTGTCCCCTGGCCCTGTCCCCTGCTCAGTGGCCCTGGGGTGGCTGCTCAGCCTCCGTGAGCGCTCTGGGTCGGGAGGGTGCGGCTCTTCTGAGGGTGACCCTGCCGTCTTCTCCTTCCTCGGCCAGGAGGCAGTTCCCCCCTTCCCCGTCGGCCCCGAAGATCCCCTCCTGGCAGATCCCGGTCAAGTCCCCGTCACCCTCCAGCCCCGCGGCCGTGAACCACCACAGCAGCAGCGACATCTCGCCCGTCAGCAACGAGTCCACGTCGTCCTCGCCTGTGAAGGAGGGCCACAGCCCTGAGGGCTCCACGGCCACGTACCACCTGCTGGGCCCCCAGGAGGAGGGCGAGGGGGTGGTGGACGTCAAGGGCCAGGTGAGGATGGAGGTGCAGGGCGAGGAGGAGAAGAGGGGGGACGAGGACGACGAGGAGGACGAGGACGTGAGCCGTGTGGACGAGGAGGACCGCCTGGGGGTGCAGAGGGAGGACCGCCGGGGTGGGGACGGGCAGATCAACGAGCAGGTGGAGAAGCTGCGGCGGCCTGAGGGCGCCAGCAACGAAAGCGAACGGGACTAGGTGGCCGGGGTCCTGGTCCAGGTGCAGGACGTGGCCTTGAGCCGGGCGGGGGCAGGGCTGCCGCAGCCTCGCCGGCCTGGGCGGCGTGAGGGCCGAAGCGTGTCCACCCCGCCCACCGCAGACAGACAGGCCTCTGACCTTGTTCTCATGTCGGGCCGAGGGCTCCGAACTCTCTGGGCGCAAACCCCCCCAGCCCCCTCCCAGGCAGACGTCCCGTCCAGGGGTGTCTGCTGGGTGTCTTAGCCAACCTAACGCCGTGCATGACAAGAGGTAGTTTTATTACCTGACTCCTGACCCTCTGGAGGAGGAGCCGCGGGGCCTGGCGTCTGCCGTCCCTTCCCTCCGCCCCGGCTCCCTCACTGCTTCTCACCAGTGACCAAGGGGGCCGCGCTCTCGTGATCCCCAAAGCAATGGCCCTGCACTCCCCTCTGGGCGGGGCCTCCCAGGCCCCCCAGGCCCCCCAGCCAGTCCCTGCCCAGACGATGCCAAGCTTGTGTGCCCGTCGCAGCCGCAGCCTGGTCGTCTGCCACCCACGACATCACGCTGCTCCCGACCGTTCGCTTGCCGCATCGTGGCTCAGCTACTGCCGTGGTGAGATGTGGTCCCACCTCCACTAGGAGCCAGGCACAGGGTCTTCCTGTCTGTCCCCTGCCCCGTCCTGCCCCCCAAACACGTGTTCTTTTGTGTGATCAGGTATAGGTTTCAGAATATAAGATACTACTGTATATAATTGTAATAAATATGAGTTGCCACTATTTAATTCCTGCCTGTGGCTTCCTGTCTGCTCATGGCACCCCGTGCCCAGGGGTGGATCTTGGCCAAGGCCGCGCCAGGTGGGCCCAGGGAGGGGCCGCGGGGGCGGCGCCCGGCAGCCCTGCGGTGGGCCTGATGGGGGCAGCCCCTGCTTCCCTCGGCCAGTCTCTCCCCTAAGGCAGGTGTCGCAGCCGCTCACCCACAGCTGGAGGGTCTCATCCTCGGTCCCGAGTGGCTGCCGGAGGGCGACGTTCTGATCCAGGAGGAAGGGACCTCACGCTACTGTGTATAGACCTGGTGTGGAGTGTGATGAGCTCACCTCCCTTAAATGGATGCATGTGCTCCCAGGAGAGTGCGTCTCGTTCCCTCGTCCTCCCCCGTCTCGTCTCCCTCTCACCCTCCCTGTCTCCCTTTACCCTTCACACAGCATTTAGCTACACCCAGAAAAACAGCACGGGACGCTCCTTCCCGGGAGCACTCGGCTCCCTCGAGCCCCCAGTGCTGTGGCCCAGTGTGCGGGGGTCAGAGGGCCTGGTCCTGTCCGGTGCCTCGTGTAGACACGGGCTTTGGAGACAAAGTGCAGGCACCCCGGACGCCGCGGAGGTGGAGCTGCAGCGGGTATGTACCCTCTGGGGAGGCCTCGGCCTCCTGACCGCAGCGCTGGCCTCCCACCCGCCTGGCCCTGGGGAGGGAGGAAGCTGCTGGCCGAGGGTGAGAGACTTGGCATGGGGGCTGTTTTGTCTCAGAAAACATTTCCCCTCCTGCCCAGGCCCCTTTTTTGGGCTCCCATGGTAAACTCCTTCCTGGCTCTCAGGCAGGGGGCCCTCGCCCTGACACTCTGAGTATCCGGCCCTCCAGCCTGGTTTCCCAGGTTTTGTCTTTGATGCTCATAACCTCACGTGATGTCCTGGCTCATGCTCCCTAGGGACAAGCAGAGACCCCCCCCGCCCCCACACACACACCCTGCCGTTGAGTCACCTCTGCCTCTTGCCATCCCCAAAGAAGCCAGGTTTCTCCATCCCCAGGGGCTCCCAGCCTGGTCTGGACGAGGGGCCCAGTGCCCGGGAGCCAGGCAGGCAGACAGACGTGGGATGACAGGCAGAGAGAGGACTGGTGGCTCGGTTGGAAGCACCCCTGGGCCTTGGGGGCCGGAGACGGGGTTTCCCCGCTCTGCCCTCCTCGGGGAATGGAAGCCTGGGTCCCGCGTGGGCCGTCTCAGGGTGTCCCCCTCTACTTGGTGACTGTTTCTCGCGGCCTCTAACTTTGCAGAGGTCCCTCCTGCAGTGGGACCAGACCGGGGCCGGGGGCGGCGGGGAGGGGGGCAGAGGGAAGATAGCCTGGGACGGAGACGCAGCCAGAGCTGCTAGCGCAGGGCAGCGGGCACTCGGGGGACCTTATGGGGTATGTCTTCCCCAACCTGGGGAGTCGGTTGTCTCGCAGGTCCCCGGACTCACTGCGGGAGAAAGGGATGAAAACCTGGGCCTGGGGGCCTTTTGCCCTGCGGGTCCTGAGCGCCCGATTTCAGCTTTTGAGGACAGAGAGTCTGGCGCGATTCCAGGGAGGGAAAAACCCCTCCCCAAACGGCGTGAGTGCTGCCTAATAAAGGCAGCTGCTGGACGGAGGGAAAACAGCCCTTTGAAAAAAAAAAGCCTTTCATTAGAAAAATAATGCATTTCATCCAAATAAGGTAAAAATATTTGGAATGGGGCAGAAGTGAGCAGCAGGCAGCGCCTGTCAGGCCCTTTCTGGAAGGGGGAAGATTATTAAACTCAATTACAAAGTATTTTTGTAAAGTGTCTTTAAGAAAGAACTCGCCCAGCGCTCAGAGGCTGCAGGACGGCCCTCCGGCCCCCGAGGTCTCCCAGCTGGCCCCGGGAGGTCCGCGGGCTCTGCCTTGGGCAGGGCCCTCCCTCAGGCAGCCCCAGCTGCCCTGCTCTAAGCGACGCCCCGGAGTGCAGCAGGCGAGGCTGCTGCTCTACCTGCACAGCCGGGTCGGCCTCCTTCCGCAGGAGCCGGGTGGTCGGTGTCCTGGGACACCCTGGCGGGGAAGGGCAGCGTTGTGGGTCGGGGGAAAGGGATGCTGAGTTTGTAAATGGTCTCTTTTTTCATACCGTGGGCGCACATATCAGCTGTTTAAAACATCCAGTCGCTATTGAAGGGGCTAGAGGATACAGAATTCCTCTCCCACCTCCACTCGGTTCACAGGTGTGCACACGTCGTCTCTCTCTTTTAATAAAAACGGGAAGTTCCTCTTCAGTGTTGTGTGACTTGCCTGTCTCACTGAAAGTAAAGCGTGTGTCCTCGGGGGGCTCACACCAGGTGGGAGGAGAGGGGTTCTCTAGAAGGCGCCTCTCCTGGCCTCCCCCTGTGCTCAGCCAGGACAGCGAGGTGCTGGTTCTCGGTCTGGCCCAGGACCTCCCTCTCTTCTGGTGACTGTCCCTTCCTGCCCCAGGCTCAGCTTCTACCCCAGCCTCACCCCACCTCACACCGCCCCTGCCCCAGACCCAGACCAGTTCTGCCCGAGGCAGAGGGAGAGCCGGCAGGAGACTGGCCGACAACCTGATTCTCAGGACTTTACTTAATCCTTAGTGTTTCTTCGTCTGTTTGCTTAAAGTTGCTTCTGCCAAGGCACCCAGAGAAGAGGGTCAGAGTCTCCACACAAAGCAGGCAAGGGGACGCCAGTGAAACCCCAAAGGTTGCCGTGGCTCCAGCTCACCTGAGGGTGGACCCAGTCCTGGCTGACCCCTCCCTGCCCGGACACCTCCCTGGCCCCTGCTCCTTCAGGCTGCACAGGTGTTTCCCACCCCGGGGATTGGCCACCCCCCGCCAGGGACAGACACCTCCAGGGTGCCCGCGGTGCTGGTGGGTGACTGCCACGTTCTCCACCGAGAGCTGGCACGTACTCACCCCCCCCCACCCCCCCACCTCCCGCTCCCCAGCCCCGCCCTGGGCTCCAGGCACGCGCTCTAACTCAGAGAGGAGTTTAAATCTCCAGCCGTGTGTCGTGTCGGGTGCTTTTCCCTGAATGGTGAACAAACCTTAATAGTTTACTTCCATCAAGCACTTTAAAGCTCATACTGCTCTGGAAGAGGAGATGAGATTTTATTATCATTTCATGAGGACGCCTGCAGCCTTTCCTTGCCCAACAGATCCTGGGAGGATCTTCTTTATAGTGAAGGGGTCACATTTTAAAACACATCTTGGAAACTCAGGTGCCCAGCCCTCCACGTCCCGGCCCAGCAGCTCTGGGAGGATGTTTCCAAGGGCATTAGTTCCAGGGCGCCCTGTAGATCCAGGGTGTGGCAGCCAGGCCTCAGGGAGGCTCTGGGCAGGGCTTTGGGGCCCTTTGATGGGGAAAAAGCCTTGGACTCTCCGAGGTCCCGGTGTCTCCCCCGACTGGCGTGGGTGCAGGGCTCACAGGAAGAGAAGCTGCTGGGTCTGGCCCTGCACTGGCTGTGCACCCCTAGGAGGTGCTTCCTGTCTGCCCCCATGCAGAGGGTGGGGCGGCTCCTCCCGGCGAGGGTGGCACAGGTCTGGCCCTGTTCAATCCCGGCAAGGTCCCCAGGACTCCAGCTGGTCCGAGGGGCCCTGCTTCCTGGAGGCCTTCCTGGGGGTAGCAGCACTTCCACTACCCCTGTGCCCTGGGCCAAGGCCGCCTCTCATGGAGGCGAGCAGATCGACAGGCTGTCTGTGCCCCGGGTGACGGGACATGCGGGCCACGCCCCCCGGAGCGCACTGCCCTGGTGCAGTGGGTCCAGGTGGGTTGTGAATGCCGAGGCCCAACTCCCTTGGGTGACTCAGCTGCTGGTAGCACCCAAGCCAGACCAGGTGTGTGGGAGGTGGGCAGGCGACTGAGCTCAGCGCAAGCCTGTGCGCGGATTCGGGCTCTTTCCAGGAGGTTGCCAAACTCTTGAATTTGCCCCAGTTGGGGTGTAGGAGCATCACACCACCACAGCTAATTAAATTCCAGAGTGAAAACATGTTTTACCGCGATTCCTACCAAGCCCAACAAGCCACAGGGAGCAAGCACGGTGCGGCCTGGGCCCACTCCGCACCCCTGGGGTGGGGCACGCCGCCGCTGCGTGCCCCGCCCTCCTGGGGTCGCAGTGGGCTCTGGGGACACGGTCTCAGTGGGCAGTGCCTGGGACTGAGAGCTACGGGCTGGCCTGCGCGCAGCGTGCTTACATGTCACAGGCCCTCATCTCCCTGAGGCTTGGCTGAGGGCTGCCCTGAGACCCAGCGCCCCCTTCCCTGGGCCCCGTCCTGTCCTGAGCCGAGCCTGGAAGCTGGCCCTGCCCTCAGCTAAGCTGGGCCTCTTGTTTACCACGTATGGGTCCGCTGAGGTCCATCCGGCCCCAGAAGGCCTGGGGGCCGCTGGGGAGGGGACAGTCTTGGGGGTCTCCCCGGCCCTGCAGCAGTGCCCAGAGGGAGCCCTGTGTTAGCACCACCCACCCAGCCAGCGGCGGAGGGCTGCTCTCTGGGCCTGGCTCCCTGCCTCCCCTCAGGCCCTGCGGGAGGGCCTGGGAAGCTCCAGTAATGGTTTTAATTTGTTGAACTTGTGTTTTATCCCATAAATTAGTCACTGTTTTATTTAACAGAATCGAGATATCCACAAACAATAGGCGAGTTCCAACTTGAACATTTTAATGAGACAGAAAAAAGTATATATGTTCGCGTCTGTTACAAACGTATTTATGTAAATAGTCTGTGGGCTGCGTGCCAGGAGGAAAGAAGAAAGGGAAGGGCCCTCTGTGCTGGGGGGGGGCCTGGGTTAGAAAAGAGGCTTTTGTGGTGGAAATGACATTGAGCAGGGCCCTGGGGAGCAGTGCAGCCCCTGCACCCGCTCGTGCCCCTGCTGTCCCGGCGGTGACACCTGGGGCGCCGCTGGTGGGACTTCACCTCCCCAGCCCCTCGGTCCCTCCCCAGGAAAAAGGGGTGTGCTCCTTGCAGGGATGTGACATCCAGTGAGATGCTCCACGAGGCGGTGGAGCGTGCAGGGCCCAGCACACACATCTCCTCCCCAGGGCCCTGGGCCACCTGGCCACCTGGAAGGAGGTTAGCTCAGGGCAAGGCTGGCAAGCTGGCACAGATGAGGAGGTTTACTGAGGAGGGCGTCACCATCTAGAAGCGTCAGGGCAGATGTGCGGCCTGCACTCTGGACGGGGCCTGGCCGTAGTGCTCGAGCCACCCATGCTTCTGAGGGAGCCCTCAGCCGTGGTGCCACCGGGCTCGGCAACTCAGGCAGGCCTGGGGCTGGTGGCTACGGACCCAGGAATTGGCCCCCACTGGCTCTGCCCCTGCGTGCTCCGGGCAGGAGCCGAGCCAGCATCCGGATCGGATCCGGGTACGCGCCGTTCCCAGCCCGGGCAGGTCCCTGCAGGAAGGAGGAAGGAGCCGAGGGAGGAGGCAGAGGGATGACCCTTGCCAAACACCTGCCCAGTAGCCCTGGCTGCGCCGGGAGAGAGCCGGCCAGGCTGGGGGCCTGAGGCGTCTGTGCCAGGCGGCTCCTGAGCCTCTGTGGGGCCTTCAGGCGGGGCTGAGGCGGGAGGCCGGGCAGGGCCCAAGCCCCCCACCATCTGTCCAGGAGGACGTGGCCCCCTCCCAGGGGTGAGCCCGGTCTGCCCCCTTCCCTGCCAGGGCTGAAGGGTGACCGACACCCTCCCTGCCTTGGCACATGGAGCCCGGCTGGCCATGGTGGCCCTGCCACCCTGCACAGCTGGGTCCCCGCCAGCCGCTCAGGACTGACTTTAAAAATAAATGATAACTTGATAGATTTTTTTCCAGTTTTTATTGAGTGAAAATGTCAAACCTTGCATCAGTCATGCAAAAAAAAAAATCAAATAAATAAAACACATATATTAAATTTCTAATAGCACTAAATTCAAGTGGAAAAATATTCAGTTCTTAATAACCAGGTGCCGAGGAGACCAGATTCAAGTAATCAGAGCACACGCTGTTCAGTTCGGTTTTCACGTTCTGCGTTTTCGTCTCAAAACCTCTCTATATATCTCTATATATCTATATATGTATATACATATAGATATATACACACATATGTGCATACATATTATTTTATATTTATATATATACACATACATAGTTATAAAACATTAAAAAGAGCATTGGTGGATCAAGCATTGTTTTCCCCACAGAAAGAAAATAAAACAAAAATTACACATTAAAATTCAAAATGAGCTAGCAATGGCTTATAGTCCTAGTGTGCAATATGAAGGTTACAAAAGGCTAGACTTCGCACTGTCGGCATCTTCTTTTTTTCTTTTTTCTTTTTTTTTTTTTGTTTGATTTTGCTACATTGAAAA